ATTTTTGCTCAACCAGACACAGATATAGCCTCCCAGTATATTTGAAATGCTGGCTTTTAATGTCTTTTTTGGAGACTTGGCTTCTTCCTTGCTAATTGGCCATTCAGACCATGTTTCCTGTCAGCTTCCTTCAGCATTCTCACATAGTATTTTTTTTAGTTCTTGGGTTGGCAGAAATACTATGGAGTGAATTTAGTTTAGTTAGTATTAAAGCAATAGATATGTTTTGTAAATGGGAATTTAAAAAGAAAAAAACAAACTTTGTAATTTTTAATTTGAAAAAAAAAAATAAAAATGCTGTCCGGAACTCAAACTTTTGTAAAATCTTTGAATCAAAAAAGGTTTTGGGAGTAACTTAGCTGTTTGTTTTCTCAGATTTTAATTTTTTTTTTTTTTTGCAAATATTTTCTTCTTTTTCTTTTTTCTCAAAAAAATTCAGACTTTCTATTTTTTATTTTTTTTTTATTTAAAACCATTTTGACAGATTTTGTATTTTCTTTTTCTTTATGTATTTCTTTATGAGTTGCATTATTTTCAAATTGCATTTTGCACATCAAATTCTGTTTAAACCAAAGAAAGAACTAGAATTATAGGTTATCTTCCTGATTTATTGGTCAAGGAAACAATGTTCACCGTTCCCTAATTCTTAAAAGGCATTAGTCATTCAGTAGGTGTAAATGTCTCAAGTTTAATGAGAAAAAAATATATAATTTCTCATTCATTCATCAGGGATTTATTAGATAATCTGGTCACCCTGACATAAACCAAGAAAAGTTCAGACTTATTCGATGTGAATGGTGGGCTGTTGTTTCATACTGCGTATAATATGTCTGATTTCAGCTGTTTGTACGAGCTCTGCAGCCCACAGATGAAATTTAAAGCCATGATGGCTTCACATGCCCTCTCTACTTTCACAGTTAATGAAGAACTTTACTGCAGCTAACATTGATGAGTACAAAGAGCAGCTCTCTTTCTAATTATAGGGAATCCAAGATTAACTGACACTGAACCAAATTTAATTAAACAGTTCAGCTATCTTCTTTGGCAATCGTGTTGACTCGAGCCGAGAGATAAGCAGACACGGCCCTTGCTGAACAGGGGTCTGAATGATGATAATGATAATAATAATTTGCATTAAAAGGCTTCAAATCTCTGCTTTAAAGTTACAGCACCATCTGTTGGACTTCCAAACTGTTCTTCAGGAAGACTGCTTTAGGATAATGACTCCGCTGTGCTTCCACTAAATGAGTGACAGCCGTCTGAATTGTCTCTTTTTTTCCAGACTTCATGAGGTCCTGATGGACCTGCAGAATAAGCAGCTTCAGCAGCTCACAGACTGGTTGGACGTCACAGAGGCACGCATCAAGAAGATTGGCTCTCAGCCACTGGGGCCTGACCTTGAGGATATCAAGCACCAAGTAGAGGAGCACAAGGTGGGCGCCTGCTGATTATTGTGCAACATTTTCACACTTTTATACAGGAAAAACCTAAAGTACTATTCTTTTAAAAATTAAAATTTGTGATTTTATATCAACAGCCATCTCTGTAATCAGCTGACAATTAACACAAGTTCATTCCAGACGTACATTCCTCAATACACTGGAAAAAACGATCTAGAAATAAGTAAAAATTTCTTAAATTAAGTGTATTTACCCTTAATTTGAGTAGGTAAATGAGATAGTTTGCCAATGGAATGAGTATTTTTACACTTAAACAAAGCTAATTAGATAATATGCACTTGGAATAGGACAATGCAATTGTGTTTTCTTATTTTAAGTGTAAATTGTCTTGTTCCATTGGCAAAATGCCTCTTTTACTTCCTCAATCCAAGAACAAATGCACTTATTTAAAAAACAAAATAAGTTTGTTTATACAGTGGATTTTTTCCAGTGTATAAACATTAAAGTTAGCATTAGCTTAGCTCATAAGAAGTTCCAAATTTGATATAATATTAAGCATCTTAGAGCATATTGCCACTGTTGTCTGTTTTTTTTAACACAAGTTATTTAATGACTACTTCACTTTTTTTTAAACTCTTTATAACAGTTATTAGCCAGAAGATGCTTTGCTAATAATGTTACTAGCGGCAAGTAGAAAGAAAGTAGTTCATTCTCAAGAGATGGGATTTCCTGAAAAGTCTTCCTCAGGTTTTTACTTCTTTACGGTGAAAGAGACATTAGCACACAGAAACAGGTTTATAAGAGTTTAGGGGAGAATCTACAGTTGTATAAAAAGCAAGAGAGCACAGAGGCGGAGCATGAACTATAGTAATGGTTGTGACATATTGGGGGCCTCATGGTATTGAATCTGCATGCATGAAATTTTGAAAATGATCAAAGAGGGTATTTCATATGCATGTGTTTTAAATTAAACTACTCATTCATGTATTTATTACTCATGTGAACATTTGGCAGAATCCTAACCTTATGCTGAAGCGTGTAATCATCCTTTTGTTGAATTTTCAACCATGATAAATTAGTCACAGTTTTGGCTCTTAATGCTGTTCCCAGACGGTACTAATTTCCAACCAGGTGTACCTGTCAAAGGATCCCCAAAAATGAAAGGTATAGTGGAGGATCTTCACGTATTTTTTAAACGACCCAGCCTCTTCACTTAAAAAATAATACACATGCACAACCCTGTATCTGCTCCCGAGAGTGAACGCCTATTCAACGTGTGCAAGAGCATTCACGAGCCCAATTCTCCTCGTACACGCTCTGTTTAAAGGGGTCATAGAATACAAAACTGAGTTTTTATTGTCATAGATAAATAACGATAGTTCAGTGGGTGAAATGGACGAACCCCATCGAAACCTCCTTTCTCTGCAAATCTCACAATTCTAAACTTCCAACTGGTTCACTGGCCCAAGTTGGGTATGAAGTGTTGACTGCCGGGTCGCTGACTGGACCGGACCTCAGTAGAGAGCCATGAGCCGCCAGTCCTCAGCCGGAGGAGGGGGGCTGGGGGTCAGTAAGGCAGGCGGGGGGAGCATGGAGCCGCCTGTGTCCAGGCTACCATCATCGGGTCGGGTTCTGTCACTCCGTCCCCTGCTGGCTCCTTGCCCCCGTCTGCCGGGGTTCCCAGACCAGCCCAGGAGCTGAGGGCTCGGTTCGAATGCCCGGTGTGTTTCGACTACGTGCTGCACTGTAGTCGACCAAAATCCCGGACGATTTTTAAATACCCCCCTGACATTTTTTTAGGTATAAAAAGTAGGATATGTCTGGGAAAAGGAGGATGTCTGGTCACCCTACCATACCAACAATTTGATGTTTCAGTGAGTGAGTGGTTATTGCTATGATGCGTGTTTCCTCAGCAGCTTCGCTCGTTGTAAATCAACCAATCATCGCACAGTTCATCTAAATATTCATGAGCATACCATAAAAGGAAGAAAACCTGTCGTTTCATTCTAGGGCTTATAACCAGGCTTGCATTAGGGCTCATAGAACAGCAAATAAGCCATTTTCAGCCCAACCAATGTTAAACACCCTATTCAGAGACGTTAAGGACCAGCACCACATACCCTATAGAATCATTCTATGACCCCTTTAAAAGTTGCTGTTTGCATCGCTCATACAAGCTTACTTTCCAGAATTTTCCCACTATGTCAGACTCACCACCGGTAAGTGAAAATGGGGACTAGCATGTAGGACGGCCTTACGTAAACATATCACCAGAATGATTGACAATTAGGAGAACCACTTATTTTGATGATCCACCTGGAAAAAGCAAATCTCCACTATACCTGTAGCATTCTATTTACAGTCGATGGTTTGAGATCATTTCGAATTTTGCAAGACATTCAAGGAAGATCTTAAAGACCCCAGCAAATCCAGATCTCACCTTTACTCATCATATCCATATGAAGGTCTACTATGAGTTAGTATCAATATAAATGTAGACTGTATATTTCCCATTTATTGATTTAATCCGTAACCTTTTATGATTTTTTATTGAATTTCCATGGTACTAAAATCGCTTTCTAAATAGTTAAATGTACAACATTTCATGAGCCAATTGCAATGAATTTGGACTCAAAAACTAGTCACATGATGCCATTTTTATATGGCCAAAAGTAATAAACAGCTGATTGTCCTAAATATTGTGACTTAAACTTGCCTGTCGAAATAATCTGATATAGGATCTAACCAAGAGTATCTCATCCATCAATTTGGCTTAGAATGATAAAAGATCCAGATTTTTTTTTCATATAGATATGCTAAAAGATGCTGGTTGTAGTATTTTTGTCCTTTTCCATTAAATAATTGCATTGAAATTTCAAAATAGGTTGACTTAAAGCATAACAGAAATATATAATTTGGATATTTTTAAGTCGATATCTTTTCACATAATTTTTCACATAATTTCAGCTAATCATTAAAACTGTATAAGTTTTTCACAATTTTTTCCCTTAATTTCGAAATCTATGATTTGATTTCACACAGTGATTACCAAAAAATATGACCAATGATATGTGGTAGATATTTGTTACATACAATCTATCTTTTTAATTTAAAAAAAAAAAAAGGTCAGGTAATGTTTTGCAGCTCTAAACAAGTTTTATCAGCTGGATTTACGTCAAAAATGGCTCTTTGGATTATTTGCTCTTCTCAGATTAATGAGCAGTAAGTATCCCATCCTTTATAACTCTTAATCACATTTTATGTCTTCATCAGTAGACTAACGCATTACTTAATTCCTTAAATCAAATAAAAACCCACTTTAACTGAGCTGTGTATTCTACCAATTTATCATCCTTGACCCCTGGTATCTTGGGTGAAACCACAGGAGATTAGGATTATTAGGATTATTATAGATGTGGTGCTTGAAAATAGTAATAATTTAGCAGACCAGGCAGTTCTTAGATATAGCCATACTGGATTTGGTGATCTTGCGCTAAATCTGCAAAATATTATGCAGCTATATTCTGAATAGCAGAGCCGTATTGCTATACTGCTTGTTGATTCCAGTGGAAGCACTAAGGGTGGACTCTTTCGTTCCTCTTTTCTTCTTTCTCAGTAATGTGGATTTTAGTCCTATTCCACTTTTATCTATTTTGTCTTTGCTCAGCTTGAGTTTTTTTTACTCTAGTTTAAAGATCAAATAGGTACCACATTATTTTTTCATCACAGAACCATGTGCATGGTATAGCTTTGATTTTTTTATGGTTGAAAGTTCTTCCAGTAGGGACTCTTGGCTGTTAGTATTTTCACTTTCTTAAATATGGCATTATTTAAGACAGAAACTGTTCAGACATCTCTGCTCTAATCGCAGCGTGAGGCTGTGCTCTCCAGCTGTGTTAAATGGATTTATCTGGCATTTTCTACATGCCTTTAAGGCCTAAACCTTAAATTAGCTTTCTGTATTCATAGCCAGAAGATGTTAAACCTTCATTTAATGTACATTTGTTGGCATATTTCCGAGGTTTAATGTTTTGTAGATTATTATTGAAGCTGTGTTTAACACATTCCTAACTATAACCAGCCAATTCGTCGTCCGCACAGTCAGGGTTTTGTTTTCAAATCACACAGATTGCCTTTGCTAGAGGCTGTATTGCATCCATACAAATGCAGATTATTATTATTATGGTATGTTGGGAACTTAGTGCAGCATTTGATGCTGTTGATCACTCTTTTATTAGACCGCCTTGAAGACTGGGATGTTGTTTCTGGTACTACACCAAACAGGTTTCAATTATATTTTTGTGTGGGTAGGTAATTTTACATCAGACACTACAAAGATCATAAGTGGAGTTCCCCAAGGGTCCACTTTGGGGCCTTAGTACTCAATATCTCCCCTAAGTCAGATCTTAATCATCAACGACGGTTACCACAATTATGCAGAGTCACACAGCTGCATATCACGATGTCAGCAGGTCACTATGAAAATATACCAGGGAAAATGCAGAGAAGAAATGAACGCATGGAGAAGTCATTGGTTGGCGGCTTTTAGCGGCTCCTTCGGCAAACGGAAATTAGGCCTTCTGCGGTTAGATTTAGCTTATCAGAGCTGGATTCCCTCTCTCTCTCTGTAGTAGGGGGTTTAAGAAAACACTGCATTCAACTCGGTTTGAATTGTAAGAAAGGTAGTCAGACGTAGCCTACCTTTCAGCTGAGAAGCACTTCGAGTCTAGCCCTAAAGGCTGATTTATACTTGAAACTAGGTCGTTTGAGTAGGTGTCGCGGTGAACGCAGAGATGCCCCCACCCCCATCCGCAGACACTCCGCTGCACCTCTCCCAAATTGTAGGTGACCGCAGACAGTGCCGCAGACAGGAGGCTGGCTTGTTTTGTTTGTATGACCACAAGTGCAGAAAACGACTCGTGAAGATGGACCAGTTAGAAGAGCGAGGTGCGCAAGATAGCTGGGACTCTTTTTCCACCTGGATCCCCGCTCTTTTTTTGCCCTCATCTCCCTCCGTTGTCGCACAAACTGGCCCGCACTTCCTCACCACCTGTATCTAGACCTACAGCTAATTCATGATTCTATGGCGTTGTGGCATTGAATATAACATAGCGCAGACCATGCTTCTAAATTGAGCATAAATCAAAAATGTCTGAGTCGAGCTCACTGCGACACACTGCTGCGGGGAGTATAACCAGCCCTTAAGCAGCCGCGGGCTGCCGGCAACTGGAAGTTGAGCGGGAAGTGTTTGCTTTTAAAAACAACATCGGAAGGGTTACCTTCAGTTACATTGACATTTGATCCCAACACAGAGTTGGGGACAAGATCATGTGTCCCATGAGTTGATATCAGCATGGACATTGGTCCTCAAGTTTCAAAATCAGTATCATGGTATATGACTCAATGGCACATAGCTCTAGTTAACCCAGCTAGAAAACACCAATCAGGCTCTAAATCTGGGTGTAGTGATAGATCCAGACCTGAATCCATCATCTAAAGAACATCTCAAGGATTAAAGGACTAATGTCTCAATAGCACCTTGAATAACTAATTTGTGTGTTTATCTTTAGTGGAAAGAAAGTCGATCAGACAGCTGCAGTTTTGAGGTTGAAAGGCAGTTTTGCCTGTCCTTGTTCTCAGTGTTGAAATATAAATCCTTTAAACCTTGAGATATTGCCCTTTTTTTGTGGGATTTTTGATGCCGCTCTGAAACAATTATGGTTTAGAGCATAGTACTGGCAAGGGCCACAATTCACTGCAGTTCTGAATAGAGGCTCTGTAAGTCATTGAGGTTCCAGAGCGAAAATGGCTTTGTATTATTTCATGTTAAACTGATAGTTGTCAGTGACCAAGATTGGGTTAGTTTTAATAGCTGGCTTTCTTTGTCTAGTTATTAAATTTGCTGATTTTAAACATTCAACTGCCTCAACATCCCATAAATTTTTTTAAATGGGAATGCACTTTAATAAGTTGTCTCTGTTGTCTCATAACCCTTTTCAAAACGTTGTGTTTTCTATTTTTCATCTGCGTTTACGTCTCTTCTTCAGCTCCTTCAGGAGGACTTGGAACTCGAGCAAGTAAGGGTAAATTCTCTGACCCACATGGTGGTGGTTGTCGACGAGAACACCGGAGACAGTGCAACTGCCGCCCTGGAGAGCAAACTTCAGGCAAGTGAACAAAAGCACTTCAAGCAGTAACATCCCATAGACTCCTCGAATGTAAGGAATGAAAGAAAGAGAGAAAGTTGGCTGATTTCCTGAAGAGTGTTCACTAAATCTCAGCAGCTTTGGTTATGTATTCTAAGCATCAGGCGAATGAAATACAGTTGGTATAATTACACTAATAATGCCATTGAGGTCAACAGTAGGAGTGTTTAGCTCTAATATTGTCAGGGAACTAATTGGATCATTAATGTCCATTTGGGGGGTTTGTTAATATCAGGAGTCAGTTGCTCTACCCTCGATTTGCTATCATTTAAAAGGTGAACTTTTAATGTGTTCGTCAAAAACTGTGGAGTGTGAGATTTACCTTCATCTAATTGTGCTTGGAATAAATTACAAACAATGGAAAAGTACATTCTGGTGCCTCCTTGTCAAGAGTCTTAAGACCTACCATGCAAGCCGCAGAGTGCCATTTTGTTCTGTCTGAATGGAGGAGACGCATCAGCCTTAGTCACTCGTGTCAAATGGGCTAAAGTAAACAATGAAACACATGGAAGTCTGTGTGATAACAGGATGAAAGAAGCTTGCACTAGCTTGATGGTACGACTTCCGTGAAAAATAACAGCAGCCGATAACTGTTGCATCAGAAATCAACTAAAATAAATTGTCAAACACAAGGAAAATGTATGAAAACTGAGCTAAAAGAAGATGATGGTTGTCTGCTTACATGATATTGGTTAAGACTAACAGCAGCTGGGAACTGTTGCATCAGAGCTCAGCCAATGTAGGCTAAAAAACAAACTTTTGGGGGAACAGACTAGTTTCTGGACTACACTGTCTTGTTTGAAAATGACACTAAAATATACTTCACTGTTGTATTAATATAATTGACCTGTCAAGCAGAAAGACCGAATTGTCCACGTCTGTTTGAAGCTGAGATCGTTAATTATCTATCTCCACATGGTAAAAGCTGTGCTGATATCTTTGTTCTTCTAGTTATTACTTTCTTTTTTTGGTTATTTCCTTTTGCCTTTAACTGGACAAACACTATAGATGGTTCTCCAATGAAACAATAAGTGGAAGGTAGAATGATCAACAGTCTCTTTTGCTTGTTTTAAACTCTCCAGCATTCCTGACTATTTTTCTGCCTTGTTTTGCTTCTTTTTTCTTGTTTTTTTGGCTTGAATCTGAAAAAAAATTTAAGGCAAGACAAGGCAAGGCAAATTTATTTGTATAGCACAGTTCAGTACAAAGACAATGCAATGTTTAAAATATAGGAAGATAAAACAGAATCAAAGCAAGTAGGGAAAAAAATTAAATAAAAAAATCAGAAACATTGAAAACAGTTGGACTAAAGAAAATAAAAAAGTTGAACTAATGACGTTTCAACAGTCTTAACAGTAAGAAGCCATATTTTCAGCTCTATCATGGAGCTCTGTCTCTATTATTGTAACTTCAAACTACTATTCCTTTTTATGCAGAGTACTTTCATGTCCTTGTTGCATTGTGACAGAAGTATTTATATATTCTGGAACCATCAAAATTCATAAAACAAGTCATCATTTACCATTATGTGCTTTTATTTTGAAGTACTCTTGACATTTTTTGGATCTATCATGTTAGAAAAGTTGTTTTGATGAAAAAGATAAAGCTATAGCTTTGACCTTTAAGAATTAAATATGTTGTCTAACAACGCTGAGTGGTTAATTGTGAATTATTACATTTACTACATTGTGCTGTGCGAATATTTTTGTCGATCTCTGCTTGTTAGTTTTGCTCTAAGTTGTAAATCCAGAGAACACAGAGGTAATGGACATTGTTGTTTGTCTTCATTTTCTATGCTTCACTTCAGCCCAACCTGTGTTATGCTTGTTATGTCTCGCACGGTGCAAAGGATAAAACAGATTTATGCTTCAACTCGAGCCATTAATTTTCACATCAGTTTGTTACTGCTGCCATAATTGGAGCATGATGCCTGTCACACAGATGGCTGTCTTTGTTCAGGAGTTGCTACTTCAAGACTGTTGCTGTCAGTTTTAGATGATGGATTATTGTCCTAACAACGTTGACTCACTGAAAAGAAACGTTATTTCTTTGTGGCATCTAGTTTTTTGTCATTTGTTTTTGAGGGCAGTCACAAAGCATCATGGCTAGAATATGAATTGTTAAATGCAATTGCCTTCAGTACTGTAACTATGTATTTGTAATTACTTAAAATGTTTATATAAATTTTTTTTGGGAATATTAGCGCTAGGCTAGAGATTTTAAGAATAAAGTCGGAATATTATTAGAATAATATCATAAAATTACAAGAATAATTGTAAAATTACGAGAATAGAGTCTTGATATTATGAGAATAAAGTCCCAACATTACGAGAATAAAGTTGCATTTTATGACAACTCTTACAACTCTTTTGTATCTCTGCTTCTGTCTCCTTGAACCCCAGTCGGCCTCGGCAGATGGCCGCTCACACTAAGCCTGGTTCTGATGGAGGTTTCTTCCTGTAAAAAGGGAGTTTTTCCTCTCCACTGTCACTACAAGCATGCTTAGTGTAAGGGATTGCATTTGAGTCAATGCAATCAACTGGTTTTCCTTAGATAGAAAACTTTGAATCAATCTGACTGGATGATCCGGTGAACTGTAAAGTGCCTTGAGATGAAGAGTGCTGGGAATTGACACTATAAAAATAAACTGAATTGAATTGAAATTGCAAGAAGCACTTTGTTCCCTAAACTGAGGAATATCGAGCATCATTTGAAGTTATACTTTGGCATCGGTTTGACAAATAAGGAAACCTTTTAGCACACCAGTTCTCAGTTTAAAGTGGATTCACTTTGCTGTTTGGTGGTGATGGCCAGCCGTCATATGCTGGTCGCAGCTCGAAGCTTTCTTTCTGTAATGGGTTGTGGTTTGATGACCTAATCGTCGTTATTTTTTAACTTTATTCTCGTAATATTATGACTTTGTTCTTGTAATTTTATGACTTAATTCTCGTAATTTTATGACTTTATTTTCAAAATATTAGGACTCGAAATAAAAAAAAAAGGTCTCTAGCCTGGTCCTAATACTCTGTCGTGGTTTATATGATTATTATTTTAAATTTAAATATACCGGTAATGAATAAATAATGCAAGAGATGTTGAAGGAAATTCAATAATTAAGATTTCAACAATGTGGTACAGACCGTGTGTATGTGTTGAATTATCTGCAAAAACAAAACGTTTTATGATGCGTTCACACAAAATAGATTTAAGTTACTTCCATTTTATTATTGTTTAATTCAGTTCATCTCTATAGCGGCAAATCACAACAGTAGTGAAAGGAATAATAAGGAAGAACTATTCAGTAAAATTAAAAGAAATAATTGTAATTTTTCACTTTGGGTGGAAGAAACCAGTCCTCTCTATCAGCAATGTCAGGATCAGGTAGGTTATCAGTGGGTACCCATATAAAACCTCTACATCTATGGGTAGAAAAAATCCCCATATTATTTCAGGGTGCGGGCACGGGTATAAATGAACAAAATGCAGGTATCATAGTGTTACAGCATGAATGAAACTTATTTATATTTTCTTATTTATTAACTCTACATCTTAAAAATAATTAGTTTGAACAATATCCAGAAAACAGCATTTTTTTGAGCAACGAGGCAAAACGTCTTACTTAATCTGTGCGACCAGCGTGCAGGATGTGAGCGTAAGGCGATGATCTTTACTGCCTCTGTTATTATAAACGGCTGTGTGTAAACTTTGAGATTACGAGTCAGGTTCATTTTATTTACGGGTGCATTCGGTCCCGGCCAGGTTTTAAATGGGGATAATAGCGGGTAACGGGTCGGCTCTTGGTTCTGAACTCTAAAGGTGCGGTCGGATACAGTTTAGTAAAATCAGACCCGTGTAGGAATCTGCTGCACATGTTGACTCATGTTTAAATAAACAGTGGGGCTTAGTCAAGCATGCTTTTTAAGAAATGTCAAAATAAATTTGAAAAGGCAGTAAGGCGTTAGTCAATACTGTGCTTTAAACACATTCATTATTTGTGTGATACTGTGTTTGAATAAGAACTACAGTTTCCTGGTTGAGACGTTGACAGCTCTGTGCAACTTCAGTATGAGAACAGAGTCGATGGCGCAGAGCCAATGAGTCAATGACAGCGTTCCTGCAGTAAAGCGCTATCCATCCATCCATCCATTATCGGACACACTTGTCCCAATTGGGGTCGTGAGGGGTGCTGGTGCCTATCTCCAGCTGTCTACAGGCGAGAGGCGGGGTACACCCTGGACAGGTCGCCAGTCCATCGCAGGGCAACACAGAGACAAACAACCATTCATGGACAATTTAGACAATTTACAAACCTAAGGACAATTTAGAGAAGCCAATTAACCCAACAGTCTTGTTTTTGGACTGTGGGAGGGAGCCGGAGTACCCGGAGAGAACCGACAGAGAACATGCAAACTCCATGCAGAAAGACCCTGGGCAGGGAATAGAACCCAGAACATTCTTGCCGCAAGGCAGCAGTGCTACCCACTGTTCCACTGAGCAGCCCTAATAAAGCACTACTGAAGGCTAAATGTTTTTTTTTTTTTTATGCATACATCCTGGGATCATACAGACCTTCAAAAAAATGTTTTTTCTGGAATAATGTAGCCCCCCATTTGATTGTATTGCAAAGTATAAATTTTATTTTTGTTAAATTGCTTGAAAAGCATTATTTTTCATCTTACATACATTTTTTATAGCCAATTGAAAACTGCCAATTTGCAAAACAGTAAATTCCACAACTTATTTCTCTGTTCTTATAAATGCATTAAAGCAGTGTAAATTAGTTTATTAATTAATAATAATCACCTTATATTCCATAATTGAACCTTTAGTTGTATTTTATAATCAGAGGAAGGTTTTCCAAATTCCTTCACACTTTAGATCATAAAAGGTAACTGCATAGTTATTTTGGCTAGTAACAAGTAACTTTCCCTGAGCAGTAATTGAGTTACTAAGTTACTTTTGTAACTAGTTACTTTTTGCCCAACTCCTTTTGAAATAGTTTAATAGTATGGCTGTTTTTCAGTAATACCTATTTTATAAAGGTGTTAAAAGGCCGTTATGTTGCATTTAGTGTCCCGTTTCTTTTTTTTTTGTCCTTTTAAGGAAATTTTGTTTCTTTTTTTCCCTCCTAACTTTAATATAAACTCTAAAACAGCAAAGAGTAAAAATCAAACTGCATTTTTGATGGCTTAATAAAGATTCATTTAATATGTCAAAGTTTGCTTTAATTAGTCTTTGAAGCATCATGATGAAATTGAATCTGCCTTAGGGAAATATCTCAAAGAGAATTTTCTGGCTTATATACACTTCCTTTCTTTGTGTATGTGTATGCAGGTTCTGGGTGACCGCTGGGCAGCTATTTGCAGATGGACAGAAGAGCGCTGGATTCTGCTTCAGGAGATTCTGTTAAAATGGCAACACTTCACTAACGAACAGGTATATGTGACAACCTGACTGAGGCAATGTTTTCTTGTTATTTGCTCCACCTATAATAATAATAATAATAATAATACATTTTATTTAACAGCGCCTTTCTTGACACTCAAGGTCACTTTACAAATAATACAAAAAAAATAAATAAAAAGAGATGAAAAACAATATACAGTTACAGGAACATAAAAACATAAAAAAGCAAAAAACAATATAATGAGATTCAGTCAAATAAATTAAATCCTTCATATTTTACAGGTGTTTAGAGAATTTGAACCTGCACAGAACATTACTAACTAGACTATGCAAAGGTTACAGTTAAAATCCATCACAATTGTGTGCTTAAATGTAAAATACTATCATGTAATTATTGATGGAAATCTCATCAGATAATTAAACCTTGTTAAATCAATGCCAATAAAGCAGCAGGAGGCACAACTTACTACTAGCAAAATGTACCTGAGAGTATGACTCTATAAATTTTGATATTTCTGTTATAAATCACCACAAATCTCAACTCAATATTTACTTGGTAAAATATCAAATAATTTCCCCAAACAATAGATTCCTGATTATAAAACACCTTATTTTTTGTTGATGTAAATTTATCATCTTAAATCAACGTTTTCAATATTATCGAACATTTTACTGCGGTTGCAGATAAACAATAAAACATTAATAAACTCAAGTAAGTATCCATGTTTTTACTGTTGCATTAAGCTGCTTTCTTTTTTATTTATATTCAAGAAGATGACCTTAAATATCAGCGTTCACACCTGGCAGCAAAGTGTTTCCTTATTGATCTGATTTATCAAGATGCCACTCGTAAATAAACAAGTCATGACAAACACTGAGCTGATGGGCCATTAGGTGTACTGATGTTTTTTGTAAAAGGAGGAAAGCATCTCCTAAAGTGCACTTATTAAACATAAATATTTGAATCGTATAATATCGCAGAATTACTGAAAAATACATGACGATACATCTGTTTAGAGTTCAGTAAACTTGATGTCCGAGCAAAGATAAAAAAAAAAGTAAAACATGTTGATCTAAGTATGTTGTATTATCCCTTTTAACTTAAAAATGTAACAGAAAAATTTCACTTTAAAAATTATATATTCTTAATTATATTTTTCACCCATGGAGGTTACCTTTTATTCACCCTGCATGCTGGGTAGAAGATGCTGTTAGAGTAAACACAGGAAGGTTAACATTAATTTTTGATCATATTTGTTTTGTGTCGCTTCCTAAAAGTTTTTATAAGCCGTTGCACATGAGATATTTGTTGAAACAAACAAATGTGATTTGCTTTATTAACTCGGGCTGACACTGTTGGCAGAACTTAAGGAGTGACCACTTTATGACATCTCTTTACAAATACATCTGTTTCTGAAATACATTTATTGGATGTATAATTTAATGATTTATTGTAGCAGACTGGCCCAGGAGGCTTTTAGAAAGGTTTAAAGGTGATAGCTATAAGTTAAACCCCTCCTTTGCCAGGCGGATGCCAACTACCCTAATACTAACCTTGGTTATCAAACAATTAACTTATCTTTCAAGAATTAAAGGGCAACGCCAAAAGCTTGACTGATGCTGAGCCTTTTTAAATCTAATACTAGGATCTGAGCTCAATCCTGCGTGCCTTTAACTTACTATTCCTGTTGTTTTTAGCAGAATCCTGTCCTGTTACCATCACCGACAAAACTAGAAAAAATATAACTATATTTATTTATATGCTTTATTTAATATTTATTATTTTATTTTTTTTGTTAAAGTAACACTTCTTCTGATGCTGGATATGTGTCATGATTTTATCAAGAGCTCGGACCCAGATTGTGATGAATCCAGTGTAGCTCTAACACTGCTCAACCGGAACTGGAAAGTGAGGGGAAGACACTGCGGTTAGTTCAGGCTCAGTGAGAAATTTGAATCTCGAACTTGAAGAGGAGAAATAGATTGCAGACTCACGTTTCCAGAAAATTGTTGACTCTTTGACTCCAGTCGGAGTGTGGTGTTCCAGTGTTTGTCTCATTCGATGGAGGGTGGACAGGGTTTACCCAGAATGCAGTTGTTTGTAGGTGAATGGAGAAGCTGACTGCCACTTAGATTTCCTGCGGTACTTGAACAGGTTGTTGTGGAGATGAATCCCCTGCTCAGTGTGAAGCTCAAATGATCTCTTGGGTAAAAGTAGATTAGAATCACACCCTTGAATCCTCAGCTCAGCCTGATTCTCAGATGATCCTTCCAGGGAGAGAAGGTCCGAAACATCCAGTTGCAGAATGACTTCCTGCCGAGTGGCAAAGACAAAACAACGAGGTTAAAACTCAGGTAGACAAAAACTCAGTTTGACTCAGCAAAACTCAGCTTGGCTAGAGTACCCAAAACTGGCAAACCACTCTGGCGTCGAGGTAGTGGCAGTCAGCAGCTTAAGAGCACTCCGTTAACGAGGTAACCATCCGCAGGTGTGTGAGGAGGCCAACCAGGATCAGCAGCCGCCTGGTGGAGGAAGGAAGACAAACACACAAAACACAAACCACAAACCACACAGACTGGAATCCTAACAATATGATGTATTATTGTTTCAAACATTCATCATTTTGATGAAAAAGTTTTAGCTATGACCTTTTTTAGGCAAGTTTATAGTATTAAACATCGTATCAGGATTCAGCATTTCATTATTCAGTGAAAAAAGAAAAATCAAGGGTTGGGATAAAGAGAATGCAAATGTTAACATAGTGCTATTTCCATTGGATAAGCAATACACTTAATATTTATACGCTTAATGTTTGTACAAATAATAACTCCTGAAAACAACATGGAAGGAACGGGTGTAAAGACATAAGATATCCATATTCCCAACAACTTCCGGTCTTCTTCGTCTTTTTACAAGGCATAAGGTCCAGTTACAGGTGGCATAACGCCTGTGATGTGGAAAAAAAAGTATTTCCTTTGCAAATTTGCAAAATATTAGAATTTTGATATAACCTAAAAACCACCATATAAAAAAACTTTTTAATCAAAATGTTTTGGGTTTTTTCGTTTTTTTTTCCTAAGTTGCAATGTTTCAATTAAGCAAATTTTTTTTTTCACAATTAAAATTGGCTGAGTTTGATGGTTAATTAAAACACGGCTAATGTTGGCCATGGTTACAGTGTACCACTGCCTGAATATGTAGAGCAGGGATACCCTAGAGGGCCGCTGTCCTGCAGGTTTTAGACGTTTCCCTGCTCCAGCACAGCTGATTTACATTGATAGTTGATTAACAGGCTTTTGCTGAACTGCAATCATCATAATCAGCTGTGCTAAAGCAGAGAAACCTCTCAAACCTGCAGGACAGCGGCCCTCGGGGACCGACTTTGGGGACGCCTGATGTAGAGGGACGTACCTATCTGTTTAGCACCCAGCATTGCATTCTTTCCACCATCAAATATGGCCGCAAGAACATAAAGCTTTCCTTTAGCAGAGACGCAGAAAAGTGTTTGGGTCAAATAGAGGGCAATCCTAAAAGAAAGTCTAAGATGCACCAAATTTAGCCAGACCTAGAAGGTATATACTGAGAGTATATTTATGTTTACCATGTGTACGACTTCAACTATGGTGTTCAGATACTTTCAATTTAATTGGACTGAGCTTGAACTTTGCGTATAAAGAATTGAGTAAAATATCCATTTTTGTTTTTTTAAAGCAGGTAGACATGTGGGAAGCCCATCAAGGGATAATATAGGAAGATGAAGATAAAATAAAGTTTATTTGCACACCAGATATTTACGAGTGCTTCTAAAATAAACTCTCCAGGCGGTCCGAAATATCTGGTGAAACGTCATCCTAAAGTTTGCCGCTTTATGACAATAGCTGGTTTTCATAAAATTTGTTTTATATTTAAAACACCTAAAAAAATTAAAAATAAAAAACTCTAATCTGTATCTTTTTTTTTAATTAGAAAAATCAATTATTATTAATGTTTTAGGATAACTTTGCCCAGGATGTTTTTTTCATTATAAATACAGAAGGTCAAACTCAATGTCTAATTTTAAAATGAATAAATTAATAGAGACGATTGAGTTTGCATTATGGGATTTTTTTTTTTTTCAAACTGATAGGGTTCCATACAGCTTCTGGTTTCTAGGCGTGTTGCTGGAAAATGTGCATGGATTGCATTTCCACAGTGTGATCACAGCAAGTGGAATCATTTCTGCATGTAGAGCTGCAATCATGAAGCGATCCCCAGTGAACAGGACTGAAATGACCAAACCTTTCATGCTTTATATGAATCATATTCTGCAAATGCAGACTGAAAAAAAAAGAAAGACAACCTAACACATTAAGCGGGTTAAGATATCAGATTTGCTCATGTTAAGCGAGTAATAATTGCAGCGTCTAAGATCACAGCATGGGATTAAACATGATTAACAAGTCAGAGTTAATTAAAATCCAAAAGATAGATTTGCATTGCAACTGCTTGGATAAATCTGCTCTTTGTTTTCTGCCCTAAATGACTCATTTTTTATTTGAAGTGTAAAGTGCTTCAACAAAGTCATTTTTTTTTGGTATATTAATATATGAATGAACCAGCAGGTAACAAGACCAAATATATGCATCAGTTCTGTGCTAGTATGTCAGAAACACCTATATGCATGTATTATAAATACTTACTTTTAAATGTTTTAGCTTTGTGAGAGCAGCTAAAATTATGTTTTTAATGTGCTAGAGTTATCAGCTGTATTAAAAAGGCCTTATTCTCTTTCAGCTGTTATTTTTATTTTATTTTCTTGTTTTTTAAATGTTATTTTTTTCGAAATTCTCCTAAAATCTGCCTTGACTTTCACGCCTCATTTTCTTCTGCTCATATCTTTGCTGACAGTGTTTGTTTGACTCCTGGCTGACGCAAAAGGAAGAGCTGGTTCGCTCCATTAAGACCTCCAACCTGAAAGACCAGGCAGAGATGGCAGCCTGTTTGCGTCGTCTTTCTGTGAGCTTTACTTTTTTTAATTAATATTATAATAATACAGGAAATGGAGAGCAATCAGATCAAATCAATTGTTGTCCTTGTAGACGCTGAAAGCAGAACTGGAGGCGAAGCATCCCACCATGGATAAGCTGTGCTCCATGAGCCAGGATCTGTTGTTCAGCGTCAAGAACAAGGAAGTAGCCTCCAAACTAGAGGCCAGATTGGACAGCTTTGCTCAGCGTTGGGATCGTCTGGTCCAGAGTCTGGATTTGAACATCTCCCATGTATGTCAATCAAGCTTTTGGTTTGTTATTTATACAGAACTATTAATGATTTGTTTGTTTTTGAGACAATAACACTAAACAATATTCATCGGCAGCAATTATGCAAATAAGAGATCAAATCCCTTTATACTTTCTAAAATGGTAAGTTTAGTTTTTCCTGCAGTACAACACATAATTTACTTATGTTTTATGTTATGTCTTCTTGCTCCTTTTCAACTTTCTAGTTCTTTTAAACATATTAGAGACTGAAAGTAGCTGTGAATCTTCTGTTTCTGAATTTCTGATTGGCCGTTCATCAGTTTGGGCTGTTCACACAAGAAACCTACATGTCAGGTTTACCAGCAAATACCTCAATGCTTTTCTTTCTAAAAAAGGATGTATTTGTATTTTGGACACAGTCTATGTGTGTTCTGATAAGAATTTGCCTCTAAATTCAAAGTTGGGCAAATAAATTATTGTTTTTAAGGGATGCAGATACTTAACCTGACTCCGCCAGATGGATTTGCTCCGCATATCCACCTGGAAACCTTCCGTTTAAGTAATTTTGGGAAGGGGCGATAATACTGGTTAGCTGATTGGCCTATGTTGGTGATAGACGGGCCAAATAAACCAATCAGATCAACAAAGCATATGACGTACTAAGAGAGCGACGACGAAGAGGAGCCAATTGATAGATCAAACTCTTGCCGAAACCAGTCGGGAGAAGAGCAAGAACATCTTTTCCTCTGAGAAAAGCCTCCAGAGCAGTGTTTTGCTCTTCTTTCAGTGAAGAAATACTCTGTAATTCC